TGTGTTGTGGTGGCATCAAGTTTACGGGAGACTTGAGTTGACTTCCTGAGAAGGTTAACTTTACCTGTTGGTCAAGCTAGTGCTTTAGTGAATAAAATGTTCACTTTTTTCTACCAAAAACCTCTTTTGGATACCCTCTCCTCAAATGGATATTTGCTGTTTCTCAGTATATACAGTGCAAATGTTATTTTTAACTTCTTTGTTGGTTCAGCAGAAACATTGTCGTGTTCCCAGAATTCATTTTCAAGTTCATTACTCAGTTTTAAGCTGTCTCACTGCAGTGCAGCACTGTAGTGCATCGCTCTCAGACTTGGCAGACTGTGTCCAGACATCTGCATCTTTATCGCATCTCGTCCTCTGGCAGCCGGTGTCGACGTCTGACGTTTTCGTCCACCTCTCTGACTGTCTCTGGCTTGGCACGGTGGCTGAGAGTTTATTAAATGTGCTTTTCTCTGATTCATCGTTGTTCTGGTTGGCGTGGATAGTTTAGGGATGTGAGCTCTGGTGTATTTTATGAATGGATGCAAAACTAAACACCAACAACTCGTTCTGATTTACGGTCACCCAAATTGGCCATGATTCTGCTGCATTAAAACTCCGAGCTCTAGCGCGCTGGTTCGGGATGATTCACCGCTAATTCCCATCCTCTAACTACGCTGTCATCAGCAGTGCATTTGAATTTCCTAAAATCTTGTTACGACCTCGTTTAGCTGTACCCTACATGGCACTCTGTACCTCCTGTCCTCAGCATTCAGATAATGCTGCTGCGTCCTTCTGCTGCCCATCTGAAGAAAATGGATATTAAATGGAGACAAATCTCTCTAATGACTGTCTGTGGTCCCAGGAAAAGGCACCTCTGATTTGTGAAACATTTAATTGGATAGGATGGCAGGTCAGATGGGGGTAGACGGGTTCATTTCCAGTTGAGTTTTATCAGGAAAAGTTGGCTGTGGACATCCGTTGGTCAGTTAGTGATGTAGTTTATGGTGATATTTCTGTAAGATCCTGGGTTTGGATTAGTGACTGGTTTTGTCTTTGGCCTATATTAATCTAATCTGGTCTTGTCTTTATCGCAGTCATTTCGGTATCCCGTCTAAGCTCATCAGAGAGTGACCTTTTTATTCTTAGGGGAAAAAAAGAGAAGCTGGATGTGGATTGTACATTTTATTTATGTATTTATGAAATTATTTTAATTCCCCCCTCTATCTTCTGTTCTCTTTAATAGCATCCAAAGAAGTGAAATGTCTTCAGATGGCATCCTTGAGGGTGGAGGAGTCAAATTTGGGATGAAAGACCCGAGTTTCCAACATGTGGGACCTCAGCTCAGTGACATTCGCCTGTCAGGGAAGCTTGTTCTTGGGGAGGCTGACTTTTAGGCTGGTTTTACTTTGTTTTCATGTTTGTTCTGTGCTTTGTTATAATTAGGATTTTTCGAAGGCTTTAATCAGGCAAAGTCCTGCTCAGTTAAAATTGATGAAGCACGAGTTACTGCTGGAACAATGTCAAACAGACACTTTTCTGAATAACCTGGCTATGAAACTGTGTCTTCAGGTTGATTCATGGTATCAATGTGCAGATTTTTAGATTACTTTATATGCACTTCCAATTCACAACGTAAGTCATCTACCTCAGGGCACTTTAGGTGGCTTACGTAAAGACTCCACACGATCATCTGCAATCTGAGGCTCAGCTGCCACCTACTGACCAAATGTTAGAAGTGATAGTGGCTCTCACAGTTTTGCACAGAGATTTCTTTTTCCCATGCAGAACAATTGTTTTACTCAAACTAGAAGGTGAACAAAAAATGCTGCATGTCCTTTTTGTTTGGCCAAAACTTTGATATAAATGAACTGTTACTAAGAGAGGAGGAGCTCCAGATATTTGCTAGTAAACGTGGGAGGGTCTGGTATACACAAGTGAAGACGTTCCCAGCAGTGACTCCAGTTGAGGTCTGTGTAGAAACGGCTGAATGTTTTTACAGGAACATCTCTGAGAATTATGCTTGATAAAGAGCTTTTTATGTTTTTAAACAAGAGGTTGAGACATGTCAGAACTCCTTGGGGTTTTATCTGTGTGACAACACACACGCCATTTGTGCAACCCACTGTACTCCCACATCACAGCTCATCATTTACTGTAATCGAAAAAATCCATTAAAATCAGTCCAAGTGCAAATCTGTGCCCGTCTCACTTGCTCTCAACCATCGTGCTGTACAAGCACAAGTCTTGTTGTGAGTTCAGCATCAGCAGTGGGGTGGGGGTGCACGGGGGGCATGGGGTGGGTGAGGTAGTTGGCATCTTAAAAAAACAAACTATTAATGCAATTCCCAACTTAAGGTGTCAGATCTTCTGTAGAAGACTGATCAGTACCCACACCTGCAGTCAGTCATTTTATGTAATTATTAAATGGAGAAAAATGTATCGTGTTCATCAGGATACAAAGATTAGTGTGTGTGATTATATCTTCCAACACAAATTGTTGCTTTCTGATGAACCTATAATGTATCCATTAAAAATACACAGGAATAGGGAAGTGGTTTGTGGAAACCACCATATTTGAAAGCAGTGGGTGGAAGCACCTCTCCTTTCCAACTGTGTTTTACGTATGTGGCTAGAGACTGGCCACATACGTAGGCGGCCGCCTGCGGTGGAGGGACATTTCACTTCATGCCTGCACCTTCAGACTTGAGATATGAAGCATCGTACCTGTGCTTTATCGTCAGAGATTAAGTCCCCCTCACCACAGAAACAAAAATGTGAAGAAAGTAATGCTGCCTCTTAATAAAATGTCACGCTCTTCCTCCTCACCTCAAGAGTCATCTCCTGAACTGAAGTCAGGGCTCTAACGTGTGAAAAAAGTTTGCATAAAATAAACATGCTTATTTCTTGTCAATATAGTCACAGCTAATTATTATCAGCAGGTAAGACACACGTCTCTCCCGTCTTTGGGTAGCTCACAAGAGCTGTCTAAACCTGCGGTCTCCAACCTTTTTTGCGCCACGGACCGTGTTTATGTGCAACAATATTTTTACAGGCCTGCCTTTAAGGTGTCGTGGATAAATACAACATAATAAATCAGTACCAGTACCAAAAAAAGAAGAAGAATTATTCATAACACACGGGAGAAGACCCAGGAAAACAGAGTTAATGATAAAAACGATAAAAAAATAAATAAATAACACTAAAAATCGATAAAAATCCTGAAAACCATGAATTTCACACGCGAGCCTCAACTCTCGCGGCCCGGTACCAAACGGTCCATGGCCGCTGGTCTAAACGAACATTATTCTAGCTAATGTTGCCAGCTAACACTTTCCCTCTGATTAACAGTTGATTATTCTCACATCATATGAGAGTTGATTCACTGTCAGAGTAGCAGTGTTTCACTAACAGCAACACTAACAGCA